TCCTTCTGGACAGTGATGCCTTTTGCTGTACCCGTTCTTAACCTCTCTAAGGTCCTGCTTATTCTTCTGACAGCTTTGGGATTTGACCTTGCCATCTCCTCTACTACTCCCCTCCTTAGTTCAGGTTCTTATATTCTTTCATATGTGAATTGGTTAAGCTGCTTAGCTTGGCTTTGTACCTATAGTGTGTCCTTATGCAGAGATGCAGAGTAGTGGAAACTGCCTTGAACTTGAAGTCAGGAGTCAGATCTTGGTTTGGAGATTTATAGATTGTATGACCTGCCAGAGCTTTGGTTTTCTCACCTGCCTTAAAGTTTCTCTTAGGAGTGCTTAGTTCAGTTTGTCAGCTGTAAACGCACACTAATAGTTACAGACACTTAACCATTCTTTTCAAACACCTTTTCCTGTTTATTTACCTACCAAGTATTTATTGAATATGTGGGAAACATAGCACTCTGGAAACAGAGCAATGAAGAAGACAAACGCTATCCCTACCCTTGTGGAACTTTTATTCTAGGAAGGGCTGCAGACATTTCAATAAGTAAACAAACACATAATGTAATTTCAGACACAGCTGAGTACCAAGAAGTAAGACAAGGGAATACAGAGGGCTGGGGGTACAGAGAGGAACTCGGTTTGGCAGGGGGTAGCGGAGAGTGTTGTGGAAGGCCTTTAGGAGGAGAGACAGCCTTTGAGTAGAGACCTAAACAATGAGAAAGAGCTAGCCAAGTCAAGAGCTGGGAGAAGAGTGTTCCAGGCAGAGGGAAGAGCCTGGTAGGAGATGGGAGCAAGCTGTGTGTTCCCAGGAACAGCCAGAGGCTGGTATAATAGGCATAGTAAGTGAGGGTGAGTAGTCAGGGGTAAAGCTAGAGTGGTAGGCAAGGGCAGGATCATGAGGGGGCCTTATAGCCAGGGTAAGGGGCTTTGCTATTTTAAGGTCACTGGAAGGTTTTTTCGCTGGGAGTAATGTGATCCGGTTAATATTGTTTAAAGATCTCCCCGGCTGCTGAGTAGACAGCCAACCACAGGGAGCAAAAGTGGAAGAAGGAAGATTAGTTAGGAAGCCACTGCAGTTGTCTAGGAAAGAGATGATGAGGACTTGAACCAGGGTTCCAGGGTGGTAGCAGTGAAAGGTGATGAGCTTTAGAATCTGTTTTGGAGTTGGAGTGCTCTGGACACGCTGATGGGTTGGCTGTGTGGGATGAAGGGAAGGAGGAAGCCAGGATGTTTGCTCTGAATGGAAGGATGCAGTGCAATTTACTGAGAGGGAGAAGACTGAGGGAGCAGCTTGGCTATGTTGAGTTGGAGATGTCTGATAGACATCCATGTAGGGACATCAGTGGGTTGGTGCAGGTGAGAATCTGGTGCTCTGGGCAGAGGTCTGGGCTGGAGACAGAGATTTGGGAGCCTACTCACCCTGCCACTCAAGTTCTTATTGCTTGTTACACGTTGTGCCGTAAAACAAACTTTTTATTTTGAACAAATTTTGTACTGTAGAAAAGTTACAAAAATAGAACAGTTATTGAATTCCCTTCACCTAGCTTCCCCCAATATCAACATTTTGCGTAAACTGTTACATAACCCCTTGTTATGGTGTATTTGTCAAAATTAAGAAATTACCGTTGGTACAACACTATCAGCTAAACTCAAGACCTTGTTTGAATTTCGCCAGTTTCCACACTAACGCCCTTTTTCTGTTCTAGGTTCCAATCCAGGATCCCACGTTGCATTTAGTTATTTTTTTCCCCTTAATCTCCTCCAACCTATGATAATTTCTCAGTCTTTCCTGACCTTGATACTTTCGAAGGATACTGGTCAGGTATTTTGTAGAAAGTCTCCAATTTGACTTTTCTCTGATATTTTCTCATGATTGGAATGAGGTTGTGCATTTTTGGCAAGAATACCATAAAAATGATGTTCTGTCCTTCTCAGTGCTTCCTATCAAGGAGTTCATGATGTCACTGTGTCTTACTGCTGCTGATGTGAACTTTGATCACTTAACTAACGTATGTATGCTGGGTTTCTCCACTGAAAAGTTACTGTCTTTCTCTTTGCAATTAATAAATACCTGGAGATGGGTACTTTGAGACTGTGCAAATATCTCCTGAAACTTTTGCCCACTGATTGTAGCGTCATCCATGGATCTTTGCCTGCAATGGTGATTTACTGTTTCTCTCATTTCTTGTTTATTATCAGTGGAGTTCTGCTGTGATGAAGAACTGTACCTTCTCACTTATATCAGTCTGTACTCATGGATATTTATTTTTTCTGTGTACTATCGTTGTTTTATTTTGTTGCTTACATTGTTCCAGCTTTGGTCACTGGGAGCTCCTGGGATTGGCTCCTCTGTCCTTTGAGCAAGCCTCTGTCCCTTTTTGAGTGCTTCCTTACTTCTGACATAAGATGTTCCAGGCTCATCTTGTATTTTCCCTGTCCCAGCTCTGGAGTCAACCTCTTCACCAAGGAGTCCTGGTTTCTTTTGTTGGAGAATGGTGTTTAGAAACCAAGATCTGGGCGCTAGTTGTGCTCTTTGTTAACAGGTCATCATTACTTCTAGGCCCTCTCAGTAGACAGAGCTAGGAAATATATGTATGCGTGGCCACGTGTGTGCACACATCTCTGTTTATTATTTATTTGTTCATGTACGTGTGTGTGTGTGAAGCCATGAATCTATACTAATTACACTTTGATTCCATTCTGACACCACAAGGTTCATTTTAGGCCTTCCTTTTCATATGTAAATAACTTCTTTCTCCAACAGTGAGAAACCTGGCTCTCTTTGTCTATCATATATTTACTTAGGAATAAGTAAATAAGCTAGTCATTTTAAAATTGCTAACTTATACCTCTGTGAGAAACACATTTACTAACTAGATTTACAGCATGTGTACAATTCTTTTTGTCTTTAGCTTTACAGTGTCCATCCAAGATACTGTTTTCACTTAGGTACTTAGATTAGTTCTTTTCTTCCCCACCCCACTGTAATGTTATTTATTCGCATTAGGTTGCTTTGTTAGTGTTTGTGTTCCACGTTGAGTTCCCCCGTGATTTTCATTGTTTAATTTTGGAGTATGTGCAGGGTGTGTGACACACTACTGTGGCTCTGAAGTCAAATATGAAAAGGTCTGCTCAGCGCAGTCTGATCCCTGCTACCGGTTCTCACTCCCCTCTTCTTTCTACCCCTTTTCTCCTTCCTCACCGCCCCCCTCAGATAACCAATCTCTTTCATTTATGGTTTATTCTTCCTGATATTTTGTTTTGTGTCATTTTAAACTCATCAGTTTATATTAAAGATTGTCTACCATGGTATCTGGGACATGTTTGCTACCACTTCATCTTCCTCAGCCTCTTCTTATCTGAGGGAGAGAAGACTTCACTGCGGGAAGGTGGGGCTCAGGTGATGAAGCGAAAATGCATATGCTTAGTGCCTTAGTATTTTTATATACTAGCTCCTTAGATACAACTTGGTAACATTCAAAGTTTAACTGCTATTTTATTTAATGTCTGTTAATACAAAGGGAACAAGAAGGAATGTACCTTTTCCTACACTATCTTATCGCTCCTCTTTAACATTAAGTATTTTAATCAATATTTAATCACACAAGCATTACGTTATAAACTCCTTCAGAAAAATGAAAACTTAGGATAAAAATAAAGTCTCCTTTGATCTCCATTCCCCAACACAGAACCGCTTTTACCATCCTTTCAGATTCTTTATACATTTCTAAACATATATGCCTGTAGGAGAAAAAAAAATACTGTTTTCTAAGTATGAGTCTTTTTTGTTTTTAAACATAAAAAGTATGCTTTATCTTTCTTCAGCTTGCCTTTTCACTCACATATGTCTTGAAGATCTACTGTGTTTGTATAGGTAGCCCTACCTCATTGTTTTTTTTAACATTTGCAGAGTATTTCTTGTTGACTATCCTTGCATGTGACTCCTACTGCCCATATGTGGGTATTTCTCTAGGGCTGAGACTAAGAAGTAGAATTGCTGAACCACGGGCTGTGTCCATTCTTCATTGTAATCCGCACGTCACATTGCTCTCCAAAGTGGCTGTGCCATTTTACCTCCCCACCAGCAGTGTATGACAGCACTCATTTCCCTACTGGATATTAATACTGGGAATTTCCTAAGTCTTCTAAATTTTGAATAATTTAAGGGTAAAAGGTAGTTTTTTAAATATGGTTCCCTCTGAAATAGTGAAGTTGAGTGCATTTTTCTGTAATTGGCATTTATATTTCCTTTTCTGTGTTTTGCCCATTTTTAACCATGTTCTTTTTCTTATTGATTTGTATGAATTCTTTATAAATGGTAGGTTAATTCATTCAGCAAATACTTAACTGATTCCCTACCATATGCCCCAGGCAGTGCTCTAGTAGGTGCTGGGGAAACAGCCATAAACAGCGAGATCCCTACCTTCACAGAACTTAAGTTCTGAAGGGGAAATTGGACCAAGGAAAATATGAGTAAGATTATGTAGATGTTGATAAGTACTGTAAGTGCTGTCAAAAGAGTGGCAGAGTGTGTGTGTGTTGCGGGGGAGCCCCTTACCCCATTTCCCATTGTAGACTTCATCCGCCTTTAGGTAGAGAGGGGATCAGGAAAGGCTTCTCAGAACATGGGCTCCGAGCTGCGATTGAATGGCGAGAAGGAGCTGCCAGAGGAGGTTTCCAGACAGAGAAAGAACAGCATGTGCCTCAGCTCTGAGGTGGGACTAAGCTGGATATGACCCTGGGTAGTGAGTGAGGGGGCAGGAGAGGAGGTCAGAGTGTCACGGACAGATGAAGTGGGTGATTGTCAGAGCTGTTATGGCATATGAAGGTCTGAGGTCAGCTTCAGGAGGAAGGTATCTTCCCCTCCTCGTTTCCTGCCTAAGCTAGGTGACCACTAAGATCTTTGCTTCCTGGGGATTTGTGCATCAAGGTTTGTCACTGGGTTTTGTGGTTGGTTTAAGGCACAGGGCTTTTCTTTAATAAAGGAAAATTTTCTGTTTCAGATTACCTAGGAACAGTACGATTTGGGGTTATCACAAATAAGCATCTTGCGAAACTGGTATCCTTAGTACACTCTGGAAGTGTGTATTTACATAGACATTTCAACACATCACTTGTAAGTATTTTGAAATCGTGTTTATATTAGTGCAGTGGTTCCTAACTTTGTTTAGGCCACAGGCTCCTTTGCGAATTGGACGCTCTCCCTAGGAAAGCACATAAAATTTTATATGCACATCGAGAGTTCCTACTTCCCCACCCTAGAGCCCATGCCCGGGTTGTGAACCCATGCATCAGAGGGCTCTGGGATTTAGCATCTAGACATTCTTTGTTTATATTCTTAGACTTTGGTACAACCTTTTTAGTTTTCCTGGTTGGATGGAAGTGCAGAATTATTCTGTTAGAGGGTTGTTTCTCTGTGCCCGTGTTCTTAGAGGTTAAGCGTCTGTTGGGCTGTGTTCTTTGTTCATTTGTTCCATTTATCAAGTGTAGTAATGTGACATGTTCTTCTGCTAGATAATGTAATGGATTTTTGAAGTCCGTGTCAAGTCACAGTGAGAAGTTGACGGCTTCTCACACCAGAGGCCCCTGGTTCTCCATTGTTCCTTGTGTTCCCTGATTACACTTGCTTTTTGGTGGAATAACCTCAACTCAGCTATTTCTGAGCTTTGACCTATATCCTGCTTAGTCTTGTGCTTCTGCTCTTTATTTATTGCCGCTTCCTCAGTCACATCCTGAGAGTTTATTTTTCTTAAGTATTTTCTGTCTCTTTAATTTCATTGCCAGTGTTGGTGACTTACAGGGCATATGAAGGTAAATGTCCCTGTCCCCAGTGGTGTCCAGCCCTTTTAAACCTGTCCTCCCCTCGGCTCTACGTCAGTCTTGTGCCTTTGGAAGTACTGCTAGGCCTGCACTCTCCAGGGGGTGCCCCTGGATTGCCAGTCACCCTGGCTTCTGCATATCTCTAGTAGCCACATGTTATACTTTCTTTCTTGCAGTTTGTATCCCAAAACTCAAATGTATTTTTGTGTTTTCCAAATGGAAATGTTTATTATGATGTTTGAATATGTTTTTTCAAACTCCCCCAGTCCCACTTTGAGAATCACTGCTGTGATTGTCTCTCTGCCACCCACCCGTCTTCCTCGTGCCTCTGTCTAAGCTTCTTGCGACTTCATCTGCTTCTGCCATCTATCATTCTCGTGCATCCTTCTCTTGTAGAATGATATACAACCGACATATGTTGTGTTTATTTATAGTAAAGGATATTGAGGAAGGGGTTTTAAACAGTTAGAGAAATGAAGGTTGGACTGTAAGAATGACACTGAGTTGACTGCTTCAATTCAAGAGTTTAAGGTTGGTATGTTTAGCATCAAAATGTCTTTCATCAAATGAAATATTACTGAAATCCCAGCATTTAAAAAAACAAAAAATGGGGCATTTTCATTTTGAAGCAACTGATATCTGTTTTGGTCGGTGTGAAATAATCTTATATTGTGGAACCCTCCAAAACACCTTTTTGGGAGTTTTATTTGAAATCCAGTGATTTATATCATTGAAATTTTAAAAATAATTTTATTGCTGACATACTTTGGTTGTTATAGAAAAACAAAAAGTCTGACTGTCTCTTTCCTTCATTCCATACACATAAAGTGTTGTCCATGCCTCATACCAGTTCTAGGTCATTCATTGGTGTATTCAAATATTTGTTGAGTTCCTGCTCTATGCCACGCGGTCTAGTTACTGGGGATTCATTGGGGGTAAAACCAACCTCTGTCCTCATGGAGTGTCCATTCCTGCCCTTATGGAGCAGCTTTTGTGGGACCAAGGTAAAATCTAAATTTCCCTTGGATATGCATTGGTCCTTTTAGAAATACCCAGTATTGTTTAATAGCTCCCCTTGGAAAGGTTGGTAGTGGTCGTCATCTCCCCAGCAGGCGGGAAGAAATATTTGTTGATAGATGAGTCTCCCTGAAGGGAATAAGATGACTCAGGTGATCTGAAAGTCACCTGTTTGCTTTTCTACCACTTGTGAGGCCGTACTCTCCAGAGAGGTATGGGACTCGGGTTTTAGCTGCACAACCAGGGACAGGTCACATTGCCACTCTAAGCCTCGTTTCTCTCCCCTGTGAAGTGATAGGTCATCGGGCTTCTCGAGGACAGTGCTAATGCCCCTTGATCCTGCCTGGCCTCTCAGTGTTGTTTTCTCCTTGTGCGTTTGTTCTCCACAGGTCTTTCCCAGGAAAGTCATCAACTACACAGCCGAGAACATCTGTAAATGGGCCTTAGAAAACCGGGAGACGCTCCTTCGATGGCTGTGGCCACATGGAGGCAAGAGTCTTCTGCTGAATAATGAACTGAAGAAAGGACCAGCACTTTTTTTATTCATACCTTTTAATCCATTAGCAGAAAGTCACCCTTTAATAGATGAGGTAAGAGTCATAGTGTTAAAAAGTGCCTCATACGTCTTTTTAGGACCAGGAAAGCCTTGCTAACTTGGACTTCACTCATTCCATGCTGAGAGTCATTTACACTAACAGCTGAGTGGCTGCCTGTAATGGCAGCTGTGTCTTGGTGGCCTTACACTTTTTCCCTATGAATGAGCAGGAGGGAGGGAACTGAGAGCCAGTGCCTAGGGTAGGAACAGCCACAACCTCTCTGGCCACATTTGCTGACAGCTGCTCAGGTCTGGTGGTGAGTGGTGGGGGTTGGGGCAGGCAGTGACAAGGAATGCCAAACCAAATCTTTCCAGAGAAGGACCCAGTGTGCTTCTTCCTAAGGGGATTGATGTGAGCCTCCACTCTGGGGGTGGACAGAGGGAATGGGTTTAGTGTGGCTGAGGAGATGCCATTGTCATGAGGGTCCAGCGTGACTGCTGGCCCTGGCCATCCTCAGGACAGCGGGAAAGAGGCATGCAGCATTGGGAGCAGCAGCGGTGACAGTGGGATGCCTTGTTTTTCTAAGTCATCCCTGTTGCAGAGATAGCCAGAGGGGTTTTCTGAGACAACCACCGTCAGGAGTCTACCCCTCTCCTGCTTTTTCTGCTTCATCTAGTGCATGCCCTGTCTCTGGGTGCAAGTTTATTTTATGCATGGATCATTTGGAGGCATTTAGAGACAGCAGTAACACTCGGCAGAGGGAGCCTGGGATTGCTGAATTGGATTTACTGAGGGTTTTATTTTTCCCTTCCCTCAAGGATGCCTTAATTTCCCAAACCAATTTTTGACAGCCAGTGTGGCACTCACCAGGCTATCCAGACACAGCCTGCACTGGAGCCCTCTTCGCACGAGCCTGCCCGTCTGCTCAGCCAGACCCTGCACTTTGCTATTCTGGCGTCTTCTTGTTAAAGTTAGTATCCCTGCTGGGGATTATTCTGAACGAACACTGTTACGCTGGGTTAGAGGAAGAGAGGAGAGATGACATAGCTCTGTTTCTTCTCCTCTGATTAGGAAGGACTCAAAGTAATAAAACTTCATTTCTTTAGAAAATCTTTGATATGTGGATACTTACGAACTAGGACATTTCCAAGCCTTTACTATATCTAATATTAAGAGCCTTAGAGCTCTTCGTAGGAAAAGTGAGGCTTTCAGCCAAGGTGGTAACTATGGTTGTGGATTTTTACTTTAACTTATGAAGTTCCCCTCTGAACAGTTCTACCCTGCCCTGTGTGTGAGAGTCTTGGGCAGGATGATATTGTGTGGCAGGAGCTCAGTTCCTCTGTTCTGGGGGTTGTGGTTGGATTTAGGGAGCAGGGGTGGGACACTTGCTTTCCAGTCCTTCATTTCTGACTGAAAATCTCCCCCTACATCCTCCCAACCCCTCCATCTGTGGGCAGGCCTTCTTTATATCATGGCTGTGCTTGTGGCTCATTTCCTCAGGGCTCAGTGTCCCTGTGAGATGGACGGATTCCCTGAACTCCAGCGTATGGTTGTGATCCCTGAAAACCAGTTGGCATCTGAGCAGTATTGTGGATCACTTAGCAAAGTGAAGTGTATGTCCATACATTTCCCTCTTCATTTCAGATCAGTATAGCAGATGTTTATTGAGCACTATGGTAGGGAGCAACAGAAGAGAAAAAAGGTAGAAGACATAGCCTCAGTCTCAAGACTTGTCCAGTAGGGGAACAAACCCAAACCCATTGCCATCATGTTAATTCCGACTCATAGTGACCCTATAGGACAGAGTAGAACTGCCCCATAGGATTTCCAAGGCTGTAAATCTTTATAGGAGCAGACTGTCACATCTTTCTTTTGTGGAGTGGCTAGGGGTTTGAGCTGCCAACCTTTTGGTTAGCAGCTGAGTGCTTAACCACTGCACCACCAGGGCTCCTGTAGAGGTATGAGCATCTGCTTCTAACTCCAGGTAGAGGAGGTCAGCCCTAGGCCCAGGATCAGGAGGAGGGAGGTCGTTGTCCTAGAAAGTTGGGGCTGGGCAGAAGAGAGCTTAGGGAAGGCTTTTTGGGAGGGGGAGTGTTGGAGATGGACCTTCAAGGGGTGCCAGGATCTTGGGTTGAAAGAAACTGGGGGGAAAGAACAACCTGAGTGAAGGCACAGGGGTGGGAAAGTTGTAGCAGGCTTAGGAACTAGGAAATAGTACAGGTTGGGTGGGTGTTAAGTCCCCTAAAGGGCTGGTTGGAGACGACTCTGAAAAAGCGTTTGGAAGGAGGGCCTTGGGTGCTTCTTTGAGCATTTCAGGACTAACCATAACCATCAAAGTCTCATTGACAGTGAAGAGATGTGATCAGAGCTGGGTGTTAACATACTAAAGTTGTCCTGGCAGCAGTGTTTCAGAAAAGTGAGAAGTAACGAGAACCTGAACTCAGATGATGGCAGTGGGGATGGACTAGCTGTGAGTGGGAAATAGTGACACAGTGATCAGAGACAAGGAGGTCGTTAGGGGTTTGGGTGTGGTGGGAGAGAATGAATATCATGCTCACAGAAGTTATAAACTCACCTCTAGCTCTTTGACTATGAGAGCATTTAAGGAAGCCTTATTTTTGTGTTACCACCTTTATGCCTGATATAGGGCAGAATGTTGAAGAAGCTTGCATTGTTTTTGTTATTTTTTATTTATTGTGCTTTAAGTGAAAGTTTACAATTCAAGGTAGTTTCTCATACAAAAATTTATACACACACTGTTATGTGACCCTAGTTGCTCTCCCTATATTGTGACAGCACACTCCTCCTTTCTACCTTGGATTTCCTGTGTCCATTCAGCCAGCTTCTGACCCCTCTGCCTTCTCATCTCGCCTCTGAAGAGGAGCTGCCCATTTAGTCTCATGTATTTACTTGAGCTAAGAGGCACACTCCTCACGAGTATCACTTTATGTCCCACAGTCCAGTCTAATCTTTGTCTGAAGAATTGACCTCGGGAATGGTTGTAGTTCTAGGCTAACAGAGAGTCCAGGGGCTGTGTCTTCTGGGGTCCGTATGGTCTTAGTCAAACCATTAAGTCTGGTCGTTTTACTAGAATTTGAGTTCTGCACCCCACTTTTCTCCTGCTGCGTCGGGGACTCTCTGGTGTGTCCCCTGTCATGGTGGTCATTGGTGGTAGCCAGGCACCATCTAGTTCTTCTGGTCTCAGGCTGATGAAGTCTCTGGTTTATGTGGCCCTTTCTGTCTCTTG